CCCTAAACTGCCCCAATTTGAGCAGCTGAGCCTTGGGAACCACATATAAGGGGCCTGCAAGGGCTTGGGCCGATGTGCAGTGCCAGGATGCAGCACTGGGCTTCTCAGGAGGATCTTTGGGATTGCTTTCCCCTTTGGGAGTGCTGCTGGCAGGATTTATCCCAGCAATCCATGTGCCATTGCTCATTCCCACCAACCTCCTGGTTGCCTGAGCTCACAGTGTGCACAGGGCAGAGCCCAGGGCAATGTCTTGGTGGCCACCCAGTGCCCAAACTGATGCAGCAGCTGAAAATCCACCCAGGAACGTGCTGATTCCCAGGGATTTCATTAGCAGGGATTGAAGTTGGTGTGAGTTAAGTGGATATGAATTTTCATGGCTATAGGGCTGTGGACATCAAAGCTGGGAGGCGGCTGGAGAGGGGGGAGAAGTTTCTCAGCTGTAAATTTGCCTCGTGACTCCATAAAAACTGCAATGGGCAGCATGGAAATGTTTCTGCTGGAAAGAGCCTGGAAAATGCTACACCCCTGAGAAAACAACACAAAGGGCTGCAGACTCAAATCAAAGTCCAGGCCTGGGAATGCTTTGAGGTGCGAGATGGGACTCTCCAGATGCTGAAATCCTGGGTGGGGTCTGGATTTCAAACCTCATCCCTTCTGGATGTGAATAAGGAGTTCTCTTTTCATATATTTGTTTATATGGTTGAGCAGATGACACACAGGGTTCTCTTTTCTGATTTATCAAAAAACCAAAAAATATCATTTTCAAGCATGTGCATCTTATAAACATCTGTATTTGTGAACCGTTTCAGGGCCCCTGCAGCTTCTTTATCTTCCCTGGGCAGAGGAGAACTCAGGATTCATGGAAATCTGGCAACTTGTTACTGTGGATCTAAAAATGTGTGCGAGAGCCTCATTTTTCACACCAACACTTGACCCTGGGAGACTTAGAATCCTAAAGAGAGGAGTCTTACTCACAGCAGTGCACTTTCAGGGTGTGTTTTCCACCTACCAGGAGGCTTCAGGATGGTTTTTGGCCTTTCCAAGTCTGTACATTCTGGATCCACTCCAACTGGAGCTCCTGATGTTGGTAAGAAGTTCTTAATTTATTTCTCTGTGATCAAACAGGTATTTTTGGGGGGGGTTGTGGCTTTTGTGACAGGACAGTGAAATGCCACCTCAGCAAACTGATGAAAACCCTGTAGTGAAGAGTTGAAGTTATTAATGATTGTCATTTTCCACATTTTTTTTGCCTGGAGGACTCCTTTGTTCTTTTCTTTTTGTCTCAAAGTCTGCATTAAGTAAGAGCTTACAATTAATTTTCCCTTAGAATCCCCTTTGCCCCAGCAGAGCCCAGAAGGGCTGTGGAAGGTGGGTTTATATGGATTTATATGTTGGATGCTGTTTGCCAGATGGGTTTTACTGCGTGATTTCTTCCTCCCTTACCCTGTTTATCCTGATTTCTCCCTTGGATCGTGGCCTTGGCTCTGCACAAGGGTCTGTGTCATTCTGTTGGGTCTATTTTGGTACCTGAGGAACATCAAGGTCAGACTGATGTGTTTCCTCCTCTGACAACAACCATGTCTTTATTAATTGAGCTTTAACTACATTGAAGGAAAGCCTGTGAGGGGAAAGGGCTGGGAAGGGCTGGGTTTGCTGCCCCCATCTCTCTTGGATTTCCTAGTTCCCCTTCACCTCTGATCTGCCATCTTTTCCATGGATTTCTTTAACAAGGTCTCACACTCAGGTACCAATCCCTGCTCTGTGTGACAGTGACAGGACCCAGGGAATGGCTGGAGCTGTGTCAGGGCAGGCTCAGGTTGGATCTCAGCAAAAGGTTCTTCCCCCAGAGGGTGGTTGGCACTGCCCAGGCTCCCCAGGGTTTGGTCACGGCCCCAAGGCTGCCAGAGCTCCAGGAGGGTTTGGATGATCCTTTCAGGGACAGGGTGGGGTTGTTGGGGTGTCTGTGCAGGGCCAGGAGTTGGACTGATGATCCTTGTGAGTTCCTCCCAACTCAGGATATTCCATGATTTTATGACTCTTCTTCCTCCAGTCTCAGCATTTTCCCCCCTCCCTCCTCTCTCACTCAGCCACCTCATCCTTGACCTGACCTTTGCACCAAAACTCTTTGAGTTTGGGGTTTTTTTAATAGAATTATTTAGGTTGGGAACATTGGGCCATTTCAACCCTAGCACTTGTTCTGTGCAGGATGGGTCTTGTCTTCCCCAAAGCTGTTTCTCCCCTCACTCAGAGCTCAGCCTGGTTTAACCACCAAACCCAGGTAAACCTGCGACCGGCCCAGAGCAAAGTCCTGCTGTCAGAACATCCCTGACATGTTTGTATTCATAAACTTGTCAACATTTGGCTTTTTTTTTTTTTTGTCTCTTGGGGGAAATTTCTGCTGTTCCTCCCAGGGTGTCAGCTCCTCTGAGCTGGGCTGTGAATGTGTCGATGCTGAAACACCCGCTGTGGGCGAGGCTCCGGTGGGAGCTGTCACTACCTCGGGGTTGGGAAGCCAAAGGGAACCTCTTTTCTATAAACTGTAAGTTTTTCATAAAAGCCCTTCTAATTTGTACCAAAGAGACTCCAGCACGCCCTTGGGACTGGTAAAAATAATAATAGTTTGAGTGGTGGAAGACTGTGAATTTGAAACAGAAGGTTGTGAGATCTACGAGCATTACCCAAAACGTCAGCGTTGTATATCAATAAATGTAATTTAGATGTACAAAGGAGATAGCAAAGACTTCCACAAAGAACTGTCAGGTCTTACCTTCTCAGATCTCTCTGAGATAAAGCAGATGTTTTCATCCCATTGATCCAGAGGAACCGGCCTTCCCATCCAAGACTGTGCTACCTCAAATGGCAAGGGAATTACTCCTTACAAAGATTACATGGTTTGCTATTTTTCAATCATTTCTTTTTTCACTCTCAGATGAAACACACGTGTTCATATCGGTGGGTTCAGCCTGGAAATGCCACATACCCCAAAGCCAGGAGTCCAGAGCTCGTGGAGCCTCGAGGGGAGATGAAGGCTGATGGCACTCGGAGCTGCTTGAAAGAGGCCTCTGTAAGAGCCCATTTAATTTTTACTGTTCCATCCCCAACGAATGGCTCCTACCCATTCCCAAATCCTCTCAGCCAGGCTCACATGGAGACCTTTATCCTGCCTTGATCTGACTTAGGCTCCACAGAGGAAATTGCTGGTTTAAGGCTGTGTTATGTAGGATATTCCGACTGAGCCTTGTGATCTTTCTCCTCGCTTAAATCCGCCACTTCTGGCATGTCTGGGAAAACAAACACGTGGGTTTTCCTCCCTTGGTTATTGCTGACATCTCTTATTAACAGTCCCGAGGCTGCAAATTGCTGAAATCCTGGGTCACCTGGAAACTCAGCCCCGGATGTGGGGTCCTGTAGCTGGATCAGGGCTGTGGCGAGCAGTTTTCAATCACTAAGGTTGTGAGCAGAAAAAGACAGTTCCATGTGTTATCCTTATGACTGTTCCTGCTTTGATATGAATTCCTTGGATTTTCCCTTTTTAAAGCTGGGGTTTCTGTTCTTTACCCCGAACTCGCCCTGCCCTACCCAAAAAGCTTAAAAGTTCAAGTTTAGTCTGAAACTAAGCTTTGGATGAGGGTCTGGAGGGACAGGACAAGGGGGAATGGCTTCACCCTCCCAGAGGGCAGGGTTAGATGGGATACTGGGAAGAAATCCTTCCTTGTGAGGGTGGGGAGGCCCTGGCACAGGTTGCCCAGAGAAGCTGTGGCTGCCCCATCCCTGGAAGTGTCCAAGGACAGGTTGGACGAGGCTTGGAGCCACCTGGGACAGTGGGAGTTGTCCCTGCCCAAGGCAGGGAGTGGGATGGGATGACTTTACGGTCCCATCCAACCCAAACCATCCTGGGATTCTATCCTGCAGCTCAGGCTGTGGCCCTCCTCCATCTCCAGAGGATTTCGGTCACTTTACATTTGTCTTTGCTAATGCTCAGCACAAATTACCTCAAAGGATGATCCATGGAATTTAAAGCAGAAGCCAAGGAGGTTGAAATAGGCACATGTACCACCAACTTGGGGCAGGAGATTTCCAGGACCTCTCCTGTCAGAATTCCCTCTGGAAGGAGAAGACACAATGGTCCTGAAACTGAGGTTCCAGTTTCCTATGCCCAAAATATGGTGCTAATCTAATGTACCCCTGCCCTCTGGCAGTGGGAAGCCATTCCCCCTTGTCCAAAGTGCCTCTCCAGCTCTCCTGGAGCCCCTTCAGGCATTGGAAGGGGCTGTCAGGGATGTGGGCAGAGCAGCTGCCAGGCCCTTGTGCTGTGAGGGTGTCACTGTTTGGTTTAGGTCGGGAGGGGTCTGCTTTGGAGTTCTCCCACCTGGACAGTGTGGCTGGGTGGGATGCTTCCTGAGGAGCACCGAATCCCCGGGAAACAGGTCAGGAGAATCGCAGGAAAAACCTCTGAGATGGTCGAGCCCAACCTAGGACCCAACACCACCACAGAAAATAAACCATGGCACCAGGGATGCCGGAGCCTGGAGAAAGCCCTGCCAAGGGGCAGGGGAGAGGAGCCCCCTCCCCGTGGTTCCTGGCCAGGCTCAGTGTTAGGGTTCCCCTTCCTTGGTGAGCGGGTGCCCCCGCTCCGAGGGGCAGCGTGGGCTCTGGGCTCTCTGGAAGGGTGCCTTTCATGTATCACATCTCTCCTCGAGGCACAGATCGTATCCTGTTTCCCTGGCACCGGCGGATCCCAAAACCGGCACCCCCCAGGACAATGGCTTGGCCCTGCCCGTGGCCCCGGGGCCGTGGGGAGCCCGTGGGGAGCCGAGGGGTCGGGGGCAGGAGGCAGCACCGGGGAGGTTGTATAACGTGGTGTGGAATATCATTGTTCCAGCCAGGATGAGTAAGAGCACAGCTGAGGCCGGACACCGACGGCACTGCCATGAGTCCGGGGGAGGGTGGGCTGGGAGACGGCTGCACAGTTGAAAATAAAGACAATGAGTCTATAAAAGTTAAAGAACTGAATAGATTCCGAACATTTGGTTTTCATTAGCACCAAATAACATATAAATAAACATACAACAGAACCAACGGCAACATCTTGGTTACCCCCTCTAGAAGAAGCTGTGTTTAGGCTGAGCTCAGCCTCCCCAGCCCAGCCTCCTCCCGCGTGTTCTGTGATGGGACAGGGGAGCTGAGGGAGCCACCAGGCCTCCATCTTCCTTCAGAGCAGAGCAGGGGCTTGGCTGCGCAGGAGAATGAGGTGTCAGTGTGCTGCTGGTTCTTAGAAGTCAGAATTTTCTGATTTCTGAGGGGGAAAACATGAAAATAAGCACAGGAAGAGTCAATACACCAATTTTTCATTCTCTGTAAAAAGGATGCACTGTAAAAAGCCCATCCAGTGCCACCTCCTGCCACCTTCCCACCTTCCACTAGCCCAAGTTGCTCCAAGCCCTCTCCAGCCTGGCCTTGAACACTTCCAGGGATGAGGCAGTCACAGCTTCTCTGGGCAACTAAATGTTATAAGAATTCATGGAGTAAAATGGGAGGGATCAGAGAATGATCAGAGAGAGACAGTGATGGTGTGAGAGAGAGGGAAAATCTTGGAATAGCACGGAGCCAGGAAGGAGGCATCCTGTGAACACAATTCCTTAGTACTTCTTGCTCTTATAACACAAATGTATTACTCAATCGGTGCCCCTATGGGAGCAGTTGGACACAAATAGACCTTTCCTGCACAGACAGAGCTCACAGTTATTGAAAAAACAGTCTTAAGCAAAGCAGATTGTATGGAACATCTTAGATCTCACTGGGGAAAAGGAATGGTAATTGTAGGGCTGCGTGGAGACTCTATAAAACCAGGATCCTCCATCCTGAGGGCTTGTAAACGCCTGCGGATGCGCTGTCGGCGCGCCAGGACTTCAGGTTTCAGGAGACTTTATTGTGCTCACGTTGTTGCTGACACCACTGAGAGACTAAGGGATGGCTTTCCTGCAGTTTAGCTGAGCTTTCCTCAAAGGAAAGTCGGGAATTCCAAAGCTTTTAGGTCACACATGTTAAAATTGACTCTGTTGCCTCTGCAGAAACTACAGCTGTTGCCAAAACGTCAATACGGAATGGGCTCAGATCTGCTTTACAAGATCCATCTGAGAGATTCCCAGATCTGTGGAATTCACATGGAGAGGTGAGCTGGGACCTGCCATGGAGTGCCCTGTGCTATGCAGAGAGTTGTACCCGTTCCAGAGGGAAGGGAGATCTCCTGAGCTACAGCAGGTTCCTCCCACCTTTGGTTAAATCCTGCTGGGATGGGAAGGGGATGATGGGAAAAAAACAGCAAGTTTGGGAATCAAGAGAAAAAGTCATTCTAGACATGTCCTCTGAGTGTTGTCCTCCTCCTCAGCCTCTGCCCGCCCTCCCAAGGACCCTCCTGACTGTTCTTTATTTTCCCATCCGTAGCATTGAGAATCCCTGTTGCTTCTGCATTTTTCCCTGTCCTCTGGTTCCTGCTTCTCCTGGACCAGGACCCCTTGGAGTCCTGGTTCTTCATCCATGTAACAAAGTTAATCAGGGGTGGCAGTGAAAGGGGATGAATGTTCAGAACAAGAGAAATGAAAATAAACCACCAGAGAACCAGTGGAACCATCGACTGTGGGGCTCAACCAGTCCGTGCATGAGGATCTCTCAGGTCTGGGAAGACACATATTAATTATATATTAATTAAATCCTTTTTAATTAGTGGGATGCTGAACAATCTGCTCTAGGAGGCAGAAATCCCTCAGTCTGAGGATTTGGCCAATGTCCCTGGTGAGATCCAGGCAGGAAAGGTGAGCTCATGTCTTCCCACTGACCCAACCACAGGGGTGACTTGACCTCTACAATTCACTCTAAAAGTAACATAAATGACTCTTGAAAATGGAACGAGGCCACTGCAAGTCTGGGTCAGTCAGTCTATGGTCGGTTTGGGATTTTGACCTTGAAAAACAGGATTTTGGTGGTGCAGCAGTTGGACTTCGATGATCCATGTGGGTCCCTTCCAACTCAGGATATTCTGTGTTTCTGTGAAAACCAGTAACAACACTAAGCACTCAAATAATTATGAATGTTCCTACAATAATTATGGAGTTTTGAACAGAGGGTTCATTTGTGTTTATTTGCTTTCTGCTCCTCAGTTGTTGGAGTTGGCAGAGCTTAATGCTTCCAGTTTTTTTCTTCACAAATATTAGGGAAACATTTCTTTCTTAAATGAAAACAGAGGCTTCTCATGTAATTTCATGTCTGTGACACAAAACTTGAAGGAAAAGCCCTACTGCAGGAAAACAAGGATAGGAAGGGCTGGAAAAGGCCGTCCTCCTCCCCAAAGGCAGGACAATGCCACCACTGGACTCTCTATGGCTGTGATCTGTGGGATGAAGACCCCACAAATTCCCAGACGATGTGCTCCAGGACTTGGAAGGGCTGGAAAGGACAGCCCTGTGGGAACCTCACCCTGCCTCTGGGATGATGGGAACACAGACCTGCACAGGACCACCCAGCTCCCCGAGCCCACCCAGGGGATCAGGACCCCATTCCCAGGGATGTGCTGGTGACAGTCCCTGGTGAGAGGGCCCTTCCTGGAGAGCTGGTGGCAGCTCTGACATCCCTCCCCAGCACTTCCTTCCCCAGCTGACCCGCTCTGCATTATCAGATCCTCTAAAACCAGCTGGAATCCTCAGCTGTGCCACCTCCTGCCTCCCCCTCACAGCCTCCTCTCCTGACATTAACAACTTATTTTATTCTTTTTTTCCTTTTATTTTTCCAAATCACATTCTGTTTTCGTCAGGCCACCTCTCTGGTTTGCTCACATAGTTTCCAATGCTGGATCCAAATTTCCTTGCAGCCCGTGGCAGGTGAGCATCACACAGCACCTTATTAATCTCATTATCTATCTCGTTATCCATTAAACCCTCTGACTGGTAATAGAACCTGCGAAGACTTTGCAGACTCCTTTTGATACGTTGCTTCCTCGACTACAAACGGTCAATAAACTGCTCCCCGTGGTGCAAAGGCTCGTTTGGGGGTCCCCCTGCTCAGCTGGAGGGTCCCGCTGCCCTCCTGCCGCTGTTCCAGCAACCCAGGGGCCGGGGGGCTTTACTGGGATCCGGTGAGGGAGCTGGTGGGCAGGAGGATGAGGACCAGGACTAGGATCGGGATCAGGATCAGGATCGGGCCCGGGGCGGCTCCCGCGCGCAGCGGGGCGGGGCTCCGGCTCCGCTTGGCCCCGCCCATAGCACGGCCCCGCCCCGCCGCGGGCGAAGTCCCGCCCACCGGGCGAACCGGGCCCCGCCCCGCCCCCGCCCCTCCCCGGCGAAGCCACGCCCACTGGCGGGGCGCCGCGACGGCCCTTCCCCGGCGGAGCCCCGCCCCCCCAGCGCCTTGTCCCGCCCCTCTGAGGCGAAGCCCCGCCCCATCCTCTGCCAGGCCCCGTCCCTCCCCGCCCCTCGGCCCCGCCCCGCGGCCTGGGCCCCGCCCCGTGCCCGCGGCCCCGCCCCCTGGCGGGGGCAGGCGGCCCGGCCGCGCAGCCCGCGGTGCCCGGCGCGCCCCGGGAGCAGCAGCGCGGGGGCCGCTCGGCTCCGCTCCGCCCGAGCGCACCATGGGCGCGGAGCGCAGGGCGGCGGCGGCCCGCGCCTGCTCCTCCTGCGGCGGCGGCGGCAGCTGGCGGCTCTTCCTCGGCTTCTTCGCGCTGTCGCTGGCGCTGCACGTCCTGACGCTGGGCTGTTACCTGGAGCTGCGCTCCGAGCTCCGCCGCGACCGCGGCCCGCAGCCCGCGGCCCCGCCGCGACGGGACGGGACGGCGGCAGCGCCCGGAGCCCCCGCCGCGGGCCGCCCGCAGAGAGCGGCCGAGGGCGCGGAGCGGCGCCAGCAGGTGGGTCCGGGCGGGGACGGGGGACACCGCGGTGTCGGGCTCCATCCCCCATCCATGTCCCCTCCATCCCCTCTCCGTCCCCCGTCCATCCCCGGCGCGGGTGCCGCTCCCCGGGGCGCTTGGGAACGGCCCCCCGGTCGGGGTTACTTGGAAAAGGGAGGAAGCCCCAAACTCTGGTGCGCGGGTGAAGCGCGGGGGGAGCGCGGGTTCCCTCGCCCGGGCTGGGGTGACGGGGCTGCGGGACCGTCCGCGCTCCACCTGCTGCCGCCTCCTCCCTGTAGCGACAGCCCCGCCGTGTCGAACCCGCTCCCGATAGCCCAGCCCTGGCCGAGGGCAGCGGCTTTGCCCCGGCCCTTGGGGGACCCCCGGGCGCGGGTGCAGCGGCCGGGGAGCCCCGCACAGGTCACCCCGTAGCCGTGGTGTGCGGGGGATCCCAGTCCCGCATCGCCCTCCGCTCGCTCCCCTCCCTCCAGCTGGGGTGGGTTTCGTTATCTCAGTTCCCCCTCAACCCAGGTGCACAGCCTTGCCCGTGATGCCCCGGTGTCCCCCCTGCAGCAGCTCCTGACTCTGTGCAGGACAGGTTGGCATCTGTCTCCCGGTTGTCCCCACGGCTGTCCTGAGCCCCCGGGGGGGTCGCCTGTCCCGAGAGCCTCCGGAGGGCTGGAGCGGAGCTGGGGCCTCCGCTCGCAAACTTAGCTCATTTTTTCCAGGCACGAAACTTCGCTGCGAGCAGGATAAGCTGGAGGAAGGAGTTTCCTCCCCCTTGAGCCTCCCGAGCGGATGGTCCGCTCCCCAAAGGTGCCGGGTGGCTTTGCCGGGGGTGTCCCAGCGGGGTTTCGGGGGGAGACGCCAAACCCCAGCACCCCGGCGGTCCTCGCCCTGCTACTTATCAGTGTGGGGGGAGGAAGGACAAAAATAGCTTTGATAAAGCGGCGAGTTTGGGAACTCTTCCTCCCACTTGGCAGCGGGCAGCGGTTCCGCCGCGCCGGCCTCGGCTGCCCCCGGGAAAGCCGGGCTGCGCTTCCACCGCTGCCGGATCCCGCAGCTTCCCACAATAAAATCCCAGTTAAGCGCTGAACCGGAGGGAACCCGAGCTCTCGGGTCATGGCTCTCTGTTCTCCCTTCTCTGCCTCGGTAGTGTCAACACTAAGTGAGCCGGAGCAGCTCGATGTCGTGCTGGGATTCTTGGGTTGCCTTGGAATAGCACGCGGCTGGAGTGCCTTTCGTGTTATCGTGCTGGATCTGTTTAGTCTTTAGAGCTCTTCTTTCCAGCGAGTGCATAATGAAATACCAGGGCAAATACTTGAGACGTTCATAAATTACAGCGTTAGGTAATTTGTCTCGGGATGCGTATGGAAATCCAGGCATTGCTGGTACAGCTGACGTACTCCAGATAAGGTAACACTAATTATTTATTTCTTTCTTTCACATCTGGCCTGTCAGGCTTAAGATGGAAAATTCTTTGGGATGTATGGAAGGAGTTGGTTGTGAGAGGAAGTTTCCTGGTAGTGGGGACATGGGGAAGGCTGAATGTCCAGAGCGCTGGCACCTCACTGCCCCGGTTGGGAACTGCCGTGACAACGTCTGATTAATGGGATTTGTAGTAGTGCTGCTCACCCCATTCCGTGCTGAGTTTTCTGCCTTGCCATTTACTTGAGTTGATGTGCAGCTAAAAACAACCACTTTCCACGTCCTGGGGTGCTGTGAGTACATCCCTTCGATGGTTAAAGCAATGAAACGAGGTGTTTGCAAACAGCTTTACTCAGAAAGTTATCATCAAGCTTCAGGGGGCGTGTGGGGTTCCTCGAAGCTTTTCCGAGCTGTGCTGCTGTAAACCCAAACTGTGGTCCCGTGCACGTGATGCTTGCAAAAATGAAGCCAAAATTACTAAATAATTAATTCAGGAGATCTGGTCGATGACATTTCTCTGCTGGGGGCCACGGTCAGAGTTGGGGTGTGTTGGGGGGTACCTGGCATCCCAAAAACCGTGGTGCTCTGAGCCCTCAAACCGCCCCTCAGCTGTGTGAAGTGTCCTCAATGAAGAGACTGAGTAATGAGTGTGTGTGTGTTGTGATTGTACAGGCTGGTTTAAAAACAAAAGACGCTGCCCTTCCTGACCCTTTTTTTCTTTATTTTTTAATTATTTTATTTTCCCCCGCCTTCCTGACCTGAGGCAGGAGGAAGAGGAGCGAGGGGGGGAAGGATGGGGAGCGATGGTCAGCACCGAGATTTTGGCTGAAATCTCACCTGGCCACGTGCCAGAAATGACCTCATGACAGGAGTGAGATTTGGCAGCTCGATAAGGCCCCGCTTCCCTATCTTACAGGGTATCCAAATATGTAACTCATTTAGGATCCAAGGGCAGTTTTTCATGGCAGAGGGTGAGGCATTGTAGTCCACATCTTTGTCCCAGAACCCGCCGGCTGTTGCATCACCACGTTGGCTGCGAGATGAGGGGTTTGTTAGTGCTGCTTTAATTCATCGACTCTTCGAGTGCTCTGAGGTGCAAGAGCGGGTTTGGGGAGCACTGGTGCCTTCAACCTTGGCTGGTTGGATAAAATCCAGATAATCCCTTCGGGTGGGTGTGCTGTGGGATGGGAGAGGGATTCTGTTGAGCATTTTGCTTGTGGCTCCACTCATGGAGATCCGCAGCAGGGCACTGCTTCCTGCCCTTTGGAGTATTTTATGCCTAAATTAAATTGTATCTTGCTGTCAAAAAATCACCCCTGTAATATCTGAGCTGTGCAGAGCATTGTTCCTGCGCTGTTTCTCCAACCAAATCTGTGTCGTGCCACGTTTCTGCCAAAACATGTTTTTTGGCCAATGCCAAGCGGAGCGTGTGCCCTGAGAGTGTCCCGAGACAGGCAGAAAAGCTGCCAAAGGCTGGCTTTGGAATGGGATCAAATACCATCAGTTCTGTCGAATCAAACTAATTGTGGAGGCGCTTGCAGCTGGGGGAGGGGGGGAGGGCAGTGCTGAGTCATCCAAAAAAATGTGCTGAGCAGCAGTTCTGTTCCCAGTGTTCACCTTCCTCTGTGCCATGGTGTCTGTTCCTGGTCTCTGCTCCTCACCTTTTTAACACGGGATGCTCCCGCTTTTGAGTAGTGCTCACATTGGCACTCCTGACTTACAGAGAATCCTGGAATGGTTTGGGTTGGAAGGGACCTCAAAGCTCACCCAGATCCACCCCTGCCATGGGCAGGGACACCTTCCACTAGCCCAGGTTGCTCCAAGCCCCGTCCAACCTGGCCTTGGACACTTCCAGGGATGGGGCAGCCACAGCTTTTCTGGACAACCTGTACCAGGGCCTCCCCACCCTCACAGGGAAGAATTTCTTCCTTTCTTTTCCCTCACCAGTGTGAAAGTGCAGTTGTTTTGCCCTTTCTTGTCAGTCCCAGCTCCTGAGTCAGAGGCGGGTTTGATTGGCACAATGTGTTGTCAAAGGGTCTAAAGGTGTAAAAGCTGCTCCAGAGGCTTCTCCCACCCTGAGCATACCTGTAGCTCATCCATGCACCTTCATCCCTCTGTCTGGTACCTGCTTCCTGAGCCAGGAGGCTGCACTGGCAGTGATGGATTGGGGCCAAACTGAAACCTGGCCATGTGCTGAAAGCTTTGAGCAGAGTGCCCTGGAAACACTTCTCCAGCATCAGCGGCCTCTGCACGCTGTCCTGCAGGCTCAGACCTTTAAATACCTGCTCAGGACATGTGTGTTGGGATTTCACAACTCTGATCCTGGGTTATGGAAATGCCAGGTCCGTGCAGAAGCAAGATGGTGATTAGGGATGTGATTTATGGTGGGTTTTCCCTCGAATTCCACTTCGTGGTCCTGGTTGTAGCTGGAGGAGGCTCTCACAGGGCAGTAAAGGAGCCCACAGAGCTCTGTCTGGTTAATGCTGGGCTCTGGTTGCCTTCATTCCAGCCTCAGTAGTGCCTGTCCTCCACAGACATTCCAGAGGCTGCCCAAGGGTCTGCGCAGGAAGGGGGGGCTGCCTGATATCAGATAGAAAACATATTCCTGCTGCTATGCCTATGAATATTCCAGACAAAATCTGATGTGCTACATCCACTGGGAAATTCAATACAGCATGAGCTGTGCCCCGGGGGTTGGAGGTGCATCCCCGTGTGTATTGTGGTGTTAATTCCTGGTGTGAGCAGGAGCTGTCTCCTTTGGCTGTGTGCAGACAGCCTGGCTGGTCCCTGGAACTGTAGAATCACAGAAGGCTTTGGGGTGGAAGGGACCTCTCGAGGCCATGGAGTCCAACCCCGCTGCCATGGGCAGGGACATCTTCAACTCTAACAGGACCTTCCCAGCATCCTTATTCCCAGATTTATGATGCTGTTTGGGTACCATTCCTTGTGCCCCCTGACACTGAGCAGGTGGGATGGACACTGTGTTGTATGTGGTGGGATGTCACCACTCCCGAGCTGTTCACTGTGAGGGCTGGAGCTTAGGAACTCTGCTTCGGAAAAGGGAGGAAAAAAAGTAGCTGTGGCTTTGGAATGTCTGAGCACAGGGTGGCCGTGGATGCATCTTGCCAGGGACACCCTCAAAGTGTGGGAAGATGGGAATAGTGAGGAGGTAAACAGAGAAAAATCTCACCTCTGGGAGAAATGAAGCAGCTGGGAAATATGAAATATAAATTCCAACTGCTGTCTTGAAGCTTCTGTTGGCATCACAGGGATTATTGACCCGGGGAGTGCAGGCAGCTGTGGCTGCTGGGAACAACTGTGAGGTGAATCCAGTGATGCCCAGGAAGGAGAGGAGGATGGGCTGCAGCTTATGGAGGAGAGTGGGGATGCTGATGTCTTGCTGGAAACAGAGGAATGTGATTAACAGAGGAATAACACCAGGGCAGCAGGGAGCATGCAATCGAAGCACGGCGCTTCCTTCCCTTCCAGGCTCTTGCCAGCTCTGCCCCATCATCCCCTTCCCCAGCTGAGCTGTGTTTGCTTTATTTCTATTTTCTGCTGGTTCTGTGAAGCACTAGTACTGTGACTTT